GATCCTTCTTGAGTGCTTAGCAAACCTCCCAAGTGCATCCATAACTCAATAGTGTACGCTGTGGTGGATACCATTTGTTTTATAACATAACATTGATACATTGTAGCTAAAGAGTTCCCTTTCATTTAACAAATCTTATGCGACCAGGAAAAACAAGCGCGTGGGGAAAAATAGTCTTTGCATTTGTTCACGTCAGCAGCGTACATCCATGGGCAAATGGGGGACGCTAAATTGACCAATCAGAGTGCGTGCTTTACTTTGGTTATGTTATAATAACTTATGTTGACATGTACATGTATGCATGGTAGATTGTGTTATGGTGGAAAATGATTTCAGGTTAAAATGATTCCAAATTATGTGTAGCACAATTTGTATCTTCCTAAATTGTTTGAGGAATACAGAAGTGTACCTGAAACAAATGAAAAAGAAACCAAACTAGCTTCAAATTATTTTTATCTGCAATTCATTTTAAACTTCAACAAACACGTTTATACTGCATGTTACTGTTTTGTTTAAACCGCATAAGTTGTTTAATAAAGGATGATTTAACAAGAAATGCACCTGACTTTGAAGCTGTGGCCAGCTGTACACTTGGACAGAGTCCCTGACTTTGTAAGAAAATGATAATTTAATTCATATATTTATTATCTTGAAAATATTTGTCAACAGGAAGCTAAACAGATCCTCAATGTTCAAGATCTGAACTCTGAACTAATTACAAAGGTACAGTATATTTTGTTCACATTGCAAAATCTGAATACAATGAGGGATCTCATAGCATAAAGCTTTGCGTGTTTGATTCTGAGTGGAGATTTTTTAGATTCTACAGTAGCACTGCTCAGGCTGATTATCAGTGGGGTAGGGGGGGATGGGGATATGTTGTGTTCTTGTGCAGACGGTGAACTGTCAAGGTAAGTGTTCTTCTCTACATCCATCAAAGCTCAAATCAGTCCTACATTGCCTTGTATTACATCTATTCAAACAGTACCTGCTTTTTTTTCTTGTTAATATAAGTGATTTTCATAAGTTGAAATAATTGTAAGGAATACTGATATGCTACATTACACTGTTAATTTCATTGCATGTAAGGGCTGACCTTTTCTGATTTGTGATTTGGTTGAGGTCAATTGCCTAAACTTAGGAAGGTGGACCTATATCCTGTTGTGTAATTTGTTGTGTTCTCCAACCTGCTAAGAATGCTTTTATTCCCCTCCATTCATATTTTTCAATACAATCAATACCTCCAATCTGTAACTGCTTATTTTTGAGATCAGTGGGTGGAGTACTGGGGCACAGAATATATTTGATTTCCTTGGTTCATTGGTTGATGCAGGTGGCAAAACAAATAACATCTTTCAGTATTCAACATTTTTTTTTTACAGAATTATGATCATCTATTCAAAATCAATGAGAAGAAAGCTGGAGGATCATTCTATCTTCAATCAAAGGTAAAACTGTGCCAAAATAACAACAAAACAAAAGCAATGAAAACAAAAACAAAAAACAACAAAACAAAAACAATGAAAACAAATACAACAAAACAAAAGCAATGAAAACGAAAACACCAAAACAAAAACAATGAAAACAAAATCAACAAAACAAAACAACAAAACAATAACAACAAAACAAAAACAACAAAACAAAAACAACAAAAGCAAAAACAAAAAGACAAAAACAACAAAGCAAAAACATCAAAAAGCAAAAACAAAAAGACAAAAAATGAAAGACAAAAGAAAACTGCAAAAAAATATTCAAGCAAAAAATCATAACCAAAAACAAAAAACAATTGTTTTTTAATAACCTTGCAATTTACAGCTATATATTACATATAACTAAGTAGTAATAAAAAAAGGAAAATTAGGACATGTAATTAAACAGGGTAAAGTTCAACAAGCTGTTTTTTCTTCACCTTATAGGTATACAGAGCAAAAGAAAGACTTGATGAGGAATTGAAAATGCAGGAAAATGAAAATGACAAGCAAAAACAGAACAATAGCAGTGAATTTGATAGATGACAGTTGTTTCTAAGGAACAGCATGGCATAGTGTGGTATTGGTGCATCAGATTCTCCACACACACGAAAAAAAAGAAATGTTAATATTTTGCTGTCTGCTTTTTATACAGTGGCATGCAGTGAATGTGCAAGGAAAAACGTAGTTCTTTAAAGCACAGGGGTACTCTACTTGTACCACAAAGTTATATGCCTGTGACTGTATGCTAGAAAAAGGAAATGCCAAGATGAATTTGTGACCATCTTTACTCACCATTGATTTACATCTTATGCTCATTACTCTTCTTTGTCGGTGTTAAAGGGAAAATTTGTGTGATGTTCAGTTATTTATCCCTGTACAGTACAGCTGTAGCTGTTCATTTGTATTCACTGGTGCCATTCTATTCTTTACTGCCTACCGGGGATGACATATTTTGTGAACTTTATGTGTTGAGAATAAATGTTGATTTCATTCTAATATGTTGCTTTTTCACAGTTGCACTTACATGTACATGCAGATCACTAAATACTTAATTACTGTCAGGGTATTTTTTTTTTTTTTTGGAGATAATTTTTTTTTGTTCTTGAATATCTGGTAAACTATTAATAGATGCTTTAATTTGTGGAAAAATGAGTAAACTTTTCTTGTGATGCCTTTTTTTTTAGTACCTGTATATGTGCCTATGAATTGGGAGTGATGAGATCTCTGTTTTGAAGGTGTTGTGTTCTTAAACTTTGCAACTCACCGTACCCTCTCTTTAACCCATGAGAGTGACTACAATCTTATTTCTCTTGACAATATTAGCCCTGAATCACACGTATGGTCACGAGATCACCACCTAAAGAAGCTCCTCAAGTGATATTTGGGCTGTGCGATGAGGTCGGAGACCACGTGACTGTATGTACCCTTATGGTACCCTTACAGACTGTAAAAGGCAATGAAGGTTCAGAAATCTTTACAACTAAAGCAATACCACGGATCATAACGAGTCGTAAACTGACTTGTCGATCCGTTCGATTCGTACGGATCGTGTAAGGTATTTACGAGTCATAGGACCCATACGAGTCGTCTATTGCATTCACGAGTCGTGAGGTCTTGCTGTGAATCCGTGAACGTCCCTAGAGAGACTTTAGTGTCTTATAGGCCATGATGGATTATGTCGACTCATACAATCCATGCGGATCTTCTCATATATAAATAATATTTCTTTGTGCTGAATGAAAAGTTTATGAACGACACATGTCTCTGCACTTTGCGCGACGCTTTGTTGAAGAACCACACGAGCAATATTATTATTCTGCGCCTTGTATACTTCCTGCGGTGCTTTTTAGCAAATCGAGGAATATTCTTGCTCTTTGTGCGATCCGCGCGGTGCATTTCAGTAGAACGAGGAATACACTTGTTGTTTATGCACTTGATGCAGTGCCTTAAGGACGAGTAATACTCTTGTTTTTTTTTTGTTTTTTTTTTTGCACTTCGCTTGGTGCTTTTTAGTAGAGCGCGAAATACACTTATTGTGTGCGCATTTCGCGCGGTACTTTTAGAACGAGAAATACTCCTGTTACGTGTACACTTCATGCGGTGCTATTTAGTCGAACGAAAAAACTCTTGATGTTTGTGCACTTGGCGTGTTGCTTTTAAAACGGGAAATAATCTTCTTGTTCGTGCACTTCTTGCAGCGCTTTTTAGTAGAACGGAAAACACTCTTGCACTTACGAGTCGCCACACCGCGTCATGGCTACAGAGAATCGAAGTCTCTCTTGTGAGATTCACGGATCGACTGAAAAACTTTGACTTGTGAAACATCAGACGATCCGTACGGATCGTACGGATCGTTGAACCGTCCGGGCTAAAGCTTTAAAGGAATTCGCGGACTTATGACTCGTGAATACATTTGACGATCCGTAAGGATCGACAAGTCAGTTTTACGAGTCGTTATGAGCCGTGGTACTGGACATGGATGGCATGAACGCACGTACAAAGTAAAAATTAATAAAGAGGTAAATGAAACCACTAATGATTGAATTTATTCAATTGAAGGATTAAATACATCGCGTAAAAAGTGTTCTCGGGGGAAATGATCAAAGGAAAAAAAAAAAAATGAATACAAGAACGAGTGTGCGAATCAAGGAATTCACAATATTACAAATGAACTAAATATCGAGGAGGAAATGAAAAAACCATGGACTCAAGCCCAGGTAAACGAACTGGAAAGCGCTCGAATAAGAAAAAGGATGAACGACGGAAAGGTGTCAGAGGGATGTCGCAAACTTTATTAATTCCTTTCAAATTGTTTGTAGTTCCATCTGCCAGTGTTTCTTTATAATTATCAAATGGTAAACACCACAGCGTACACTATTGAGTTATGGATGCACGCGGGAGGCTGCTAAGCACGAAAGAAGCGTAAGAGTCGCTCGAGGCGATAGCCGAGCACGTTTTTGCTGCTCACAACGAAATGTTGTCTGGCGACAGCTAAGAAGACCATTATGACAGTGCATTTGAAATGTTTACTTTCTACCCGAGTGGGGGAGTATTTCTTAATAATAGGCTGGTGGGGATGTGCCTTTTGATGGCGTCGCATTTTCATTTTTGGATTGACAGCGATGGGTTTGTATTGTCAAAAGAATTGCACATTTTCGGTTTTCTTGGGGGGCTAATGAATTTCTAATAAATAGGTAAAAACGGGAAGTTTCGCGGTCAGAAAGTTGTTACGTTTGCTCAAAAGTAACTGAGATGTGGTCTATACTTGAATACAGAATATACAACAATAGGGTAGGGATGGTTCTGAAAGGCCAGTGGCATATATCCAGCAAAAATTGACACAAACCGCAACCCCCACCCACGGGGAATTTCAATCAGTGGTCGGGGCGTGAAGCAATCGTTATTGCATCACGACCGACAATCACACCCACTAAGATTGAAGGTAGCCATATGAGTAACGAGAAAAAAAGCAATTTTCCAAAAATAAATCGTGTTTTAAGGATCATTATCTAATGACGTTTGTCAGCACGTGAAGCGACTGCAAATAACAAGGGCCCTAAGCACTTACCTAGATGCAAGTTATAAATACTGGCTCTCAAAGAGCGGTTGTTATGTAAATACGTCTAAAGATGTTTGTCAAATATGTCTGGGAAGGTGGATTCCGTCTACGTTTGGTGTTAAATTCATAATTACTAATCTTTCGGTTAATTTTTCTGTCTTTATATTGATGACCTTCAGCTTGAACTATGCCAAACGGGAACATTAACAGAACGTCAGTTATTATAAGAACTGAAATTTAGTGAAGGTTTTTTTTTTTTTCATATAATTACTATTTCTCTCTTTTATCAAGGACAACAGCTTACAACAATTTATTTCCCAAACAAGTGAAATAAGGTGGCTCTTAATTAAATATGACAATTTTTTTAAACGCATGCCTGAATTCTCTAATCCTTGCGGCATAAACGAAAGGATTCCAAGCTGAACTGCTGAAAGCCAAGAAAATTCCCCATAACCAATGACGGTAGACCTGATTCTTCTCACAACGATCCTTGGTGGCTACATCTATAGACGAAAACACTACGTTTGGAAAAAATGTTATGAAAAAAATACCCATCACTATTCCTGAAGTCCAAGCGGCTTTCTTGTTTTTAAGCATTTCAGTTGCCTCAGCGGGATTAAGATAAATGACCTTCCTTTTTTGTTCATTGGCAGCTCGAAATATGAGAGCGTAACAGTACGTTATGATTGCGAAGGGCAGAACGAAAGTCAAGCCAAGGCATGTTAACCACAGAATAGACGCGGTGTGAGTGCTGTGATTAAATATCGCCGAGCACGCTAACAAGAAGGAAGAGATCCAAATTGACAAGACTACATACCAACAACGGCCTTTGGTCACCATGTCTCCGTAGCGAATTGCGAGTGTTACTGCGATTAGTCTATCGACGCTTATGGCACACAGAGTATACGTTGATGTTGCCAAACTCTGAATCCACAAGAAGTTCTCCATCCTGTACACCACATTTGGGCCGAACCATAAGTTTTTTGTGGTTAAGAAGATGTATGTCGGGTACACCAACAAGCCTACCAACGCATCTGAAGAAGCCAAAGACGCAATGAAGATATTGGAAGGTTTGGATCGTAGAGAACGCACTTTATAAATGGACAGCAGTATGATCGAGTTTCCGCCGAGGGCGATTACGCCGGAGATAGCATTAAGGAATATAAATAATACACGCCAAGAGTGTGACACATTAGGGGAATGAGAACACGAGTCAACTTCCGCCATAAGCAGCAACCAAACTTCACGAGAAAGGCACACAAAGAGTGATTTTCGATTTCCTTGTTCTGCTCCTAAATCGAAACCAATCTAAATAAAAAAAAATAGTAGTTGACAACTTAACTTTCTATATTAGGAAACATCATACGCTCAATCGAGTCATATCTCTATGCTAATTTTGAAGATTGTTAATAATGGTATTGGGAAATGCAAAGTTGCTTATTTACTAATCACATTGAAAAACGAATCAAGTCCTTGAGCAAACATCTGTTCAAGTTACGAAAGAGACTTCGGGAACCCTCGGTCATTAATAAAAACACTACATTGTGCTCGGACGTCCACCGCGAAGCCACCACTGAGAATTTTTTTTTAAAATTTGCCAAGGTTAACGTTGCTAGATATAATTCCTTAAAAAACAAGCAAACAAACAAACAAATCGAAAGTCGACAGGTTATAAATCCAAAGGATGAGCGGAATAAACTGGACACATGTAATCTCGAAACTAAGTTCTCTCAGGAGATGCTCAGTTTTATAACCAGATTCGCTTTGTGTTAATAGCGTTAGAAATAGATGACGCAGAGATTCATACATTGCCAAAAACATGTAGTATATAACACTAAA